CTCAAGTGAAAAAATTCCATAGGGTTGCCCAAGGGGTATGGCTAACTCGCAGTAGATCCATTGGATATTATGACAATTGAGCAGATCTCAAACATGCCAACAAATCAAACAGTGAATTTAAGAATAACTACATGTAGAACACCACCAGAACACTGTTCCATAAAATTCATTGAGGATTTGAAGGTAAATGCGTTTAAGGCTCAGAGATATCTGTCTTAAATGTCATCTTTTAGTTTTCACTTTCAACTCTTCTTGATTCTTTAGACTTACACATTGCCATAGATTTACAATTGTTCCTTTGTTCTTTTGGTTTTTAATTATGATACTTCTGTACATCTTTGCAGTGAACTCGTTGATATCCTTTTGTGTGGCTTAGATGGCATTGTTAAAGGTTTTTTGAAGTAAGGACAAACATTCAAAGATGGTAATCACAAGCTAGTGTGTGTCCCAATAATTTGGCTGTGGCTAACACTCAAACACAAGTCTATGACAGCAGCTGTAGCCACTGTCATAATCATGTGTTATTTCAAGTCGCAGCCAGTTCATTCAAACTCAGCCGTAGCAATCTGGTATGAAACAAACATTGGTTACCTGAAGCAAAGTGCAAATTTTGTGATGAACAAGTTGGTTTTTCATTTAATGAGAAATTAATGCCGTGCCCACAGCAGGAATTTTGCTGTTGTCAAATTATGCCACAGACAAGATATGCTGTCAAACGGTAAAGAAAAGAAATTTCGGCTCAATGTATTGTTACACCTTAATTGTAGCATTTGTCCCAGTTATAGTTGAGACTGTGGTATAGCATACTGGGTTGTCCAGCTGTTGAGTGATGCTATATAACAGTGTCATTGGACTAAGAGAATGCATTTAGGACCTGATCACACACAGTTTTCCTGAAAATGTTCTCTGCCAAGTTATTCAGAAAACTAGCCTGGACTAAAAATAGGGCATTCTAAAAAACAACCATAGGGAAAAATCCCATCTTATGTTTTGTTGTTTTGAAGATGTTTCAGACTGGCCAAGCTCATATTTATTCCCATTCATAAATACCTTTTTAGTCAGAGAGTCAAAAGAAGTCAACAGGTGGTGGATTTCCAGCAATTTTGTTCTTGAATTTTACTTTCATTTTCCCGAACACCCCCATCCATTTTATGGAATATTCTGTGTTGCAAATTGTACAATTGGCGCACGCTTGGCGAGCCGCATGCACACAGACTCTTGATCAATCAGAACGGATTAAACTGTCTTGTATCTAGGTGCCAGTGCGTGATTTACGCAGCGGGCATTATCACATCTCAGCAGGCATTATCAAATGTTAATACATGGTCAAGTTGCACATTGTTGAATAGGGAGACTGTCGGAGGTATTTGGGAATCTTAAATTATATCAGCAGTTTAATGATTTAAACATTGGACCACTCTGATTGTGGGTAAACTTTTTTGTTGCAAGTACATCCTGTTGATAATAGGTTCGTATTTATGAGTGCTCTAGCTATACCAGTCAAATGCAAGAAAACATTTGTGAATGAAACTCCAATGTCAACCTTTTGCCAGTTGCAATTCTGGTATTTCTTCATTGGATGTGTTCTTCTGTCTTGTCCTATTCACTTTCTTCTTTTTTATATAAAAGTAGATTGTTTTCTGTTATTTAAGTTTTTTCTTTATCTTTGTGTTAGGAATGTGTGTTTGAAATGTTCTACTAATAATGATGTTTATTGCATGAGCGAGCTAAGCTAATCCCAAATTGCATAGAACAAGAAACCATATTCCTCTTGAATGACATTTCAGAGGAAAGTATTCATTTTGACCTTAATTACTTCGGCTGCTGTCCCACTGTGGACTGGATACTACACTTTTACTTGGCCAAAGTGCAGATGTTGACACCCTGCTGTGCCCGCGGTTGCTTGAATGACGTGACGTGTTACTTTAACACCACACTTCCTTTCTGTCATCTGATATGTTAGTTTGCATTTCTTGGGATCAGTGTGTAGCACTCTCAGTCTGGCAAAGGGCGGTGCATGTTTCACAGTATTAAACACAGATCCGACTTTGTTTGAATCCCTGTCACATTGCCAGAGGTTTTGGTTCAAGACGCTCGGAAGAATGTTGCTGCATTGCACTGAGGAGTGAAGACTTGACTGCATTTGTGTTCACGTGAAGCATGAACCGGTCTTTGACACGATTAACTTTCTTTGTTTACATAATGTAGATGTGGGTTTCATTTCTTCCCACTAACAGCATACTTGTTTGATGCTATGTATCAGTAAGTATGGGAATAAACAGGTGCTTGGCCGGTTTAAGACCACCTTAGGAGAATGGATGCGACTTATGCTCGAGCCGTATCATCAATATTAAGTCTCCTGAGCTGGTCTTAAACATTAGTTTGTGACCAGCCAAGCATATGTTTATTCCCATTCATAAATACCTTTTTAGTCAGAGAGTCAAAAGAAGTCAATAGATTATGGATTTCCAGTGATTTTGTTCTAGAATTTCACTTTCATTTTCCAACACCCCCATCAATTTTATGGAATATTCCTCGTTGCAAGTTGTCCAATTGGTGTGGGTGGGGCGTGCCGCATGCACACAGACTCTTGACCAATCAAGGTTTGATTAAACTGTCTTGTATCCAAGGTGCCGGCATGTGATTCACGCAGAGGGCATTATCACATCTCAGCAGGCATTATCAAATGTTAAAACACGGTCAAGTTGCACGTTGTTGAATAGGGAGACTGTCTGAGGTATTTATGAATGTTCTCTCATTTTAATCTGAATCCAGCTGTCACTGGTATGAAATGATTTACAGTTGCCATGTTAAACGACTAATTTGCTTTGTTTGTTTTAACCCATATTTTCACCAGGCCTTTGCATGGTTCAGCGATTTACTGGTGGAGCATGCTGAAATCTTCTGGTCGCTGTTTGCTGTCGACATGGACAGCGCCCTCGAGGTTCAGCCGCCTGACACCTGGGACAGTTTCCCATTGTTTCAGCTACTCAACGACTACTTGCGCATGGACAGTAGGTGGTTTCAGTCTCTTCCTCCATTTTCGTGGGTATCAAAAGTAGAGAGAAAAGTCAGATTAAAAATATTCACTCTTCCGTTCAGGTCTGTGGGCTAGCCGTAGCGGGTTTACTTATATGGGTGACCAGCAGTGGTAGACTATCGGCATATCATTACACTCTTATTCTTTCTTTCTTTAGAAACCCCACCACACTTGTTCCATGGGGTGGTATTTGGGGCCAAACTAGCCACTTTTTGTAGATGTCAAGATGCCACGACCACAGTCTGCAGTTGGACCTTGCAAATACTGACCTTTGGCCATGTAGGTGGCCATTTGCTCAAGATTTGTGTAACATATGTTGCTACCCTGTAGCATGTTGAAATTCCATGACAGTGTCACGGTGTGACATTTGCTACAGAGCCTGTTTGTAGCCCACGGCTGCTGGAGGGCTCCACACACACACACACACACTCCACCTCCTATAACTAGTTTGAGTTCTTGTGTGCATACAGACTCAGTGGGAATCATTCAAGCATGGCAAGAAGTCTTTTGATACTTCATACAGAATTGGCCAGAATGTACGTCACCATCCTGTCTGTTAGAACCCAAGACATCCCTGCATATTAATATGTCATCTGGCATGGAGCGGTTAAGCCTAACCGTCCTGACTCTTCCAATTTCAGTACAATTTCCACACATGGGGGGGGATCTCGGATTTGCCCATAGAAACCATGGACATGCTTTGGAAACAGTCAAAGTTGAATATATCTTTGTCTTTTACGACGTAGAATCTGATTATTTGCCAGCATGTTGTAATAGGTCACTTGTCTTCAAATCTCAGCTTTGTTTGGCATTTGTGACGTCATCCGACATTTATCACACTAAATATCAATCTGTATGCTGCCAGATAGGATGAACATAGAGTATTTGGAAGAGTTCCCCTGTTAGAGATGAAGTAAGAGACACAGACAGAGCTGAAGTTTCCATCACTGCCTTTGAGTCGTGAGACTGGTCATTGTCCAGTCAACACAATGCCCAATCAGTTGGCTCCTCGTTGCGCATGGGCAGCTCGTGGTGGTTCCGTGTACGGCATCTCAAGCTGCTGTTGTTCTTTCCAACAGCCAATCTGAATGGTGGTCGATTCCACCAGCATCTGCAGGACACGTTTGCCCCCCAGGTGATTCGCTACGTGGACCTCATGGAGTCCTCTATCGCTCAGTCCATCCACCGCGGATTCGAGCGGGAAAAGTGGGAACCCAAGGGGTAAGTTGACAAGGGGTCACTAGCGGAGACATCACAGAGTTATGGTCACGTCCTCACATGTCAATCACGGGCCAGTTTTAAGTCATTCAGTTTCAAGTCACAAGCTAGTCAGTTTAACTGTTGGAAACTTGCCATTCTTACTTCACCGCTAGCGATCAGACTTGATTTCTAGGCTTCGGTCATTCATGTTTACCGAGATATGCATCGAAACATCCTGGGAAACATTCTTGCATCTGAAACTTTGAAATTGAGGTTTGTTGAATTTGTGCTGGTGGACTCTTTTGGTGACACTGACATTTGGGCATGATGCATAAAACCGTCATTACCATTGAAGCTTGTAAATGTGTAGTAAGTGTGATGTTGGTGTCAAGGTTGCCTGGAATGGGGATTTGGGGGGTCTTGTTCCTAGAATGTTTATATTCACTTTCTGTATTATAATATTTTGCCATCATTCTCTGGGTTATGAAGTAATCACTTGCCCATGTACTTCCTAGGAATGACAAGAAGCAGTTGTAAATAACAGGGATATCCTTTCGACTAACGTTTGTCCCATTCAAGGCCATGTGAAGTACATGGACACTTGTAGCCAGATTAATAACCACTGCTCTCTGTTTGGACAGTAATGGAACAGAAACCTCCGAGGACCTGTTTTGGAAGCTGGACGCCTTGCAGACGTTCATCCGAGACTTGCACTGGCCCCAGGAGGAGTTTGCCAAGCACCTGGACCATCGCCTGAAACTGATGGCCGCTGACATGATTGAGTCTTGCGTCAACAGGTCAGTCTTGGGGCTGGTCAGTGGTCTGTGATTTGTGTCTTTGTCAGCCAAGCCTCAAATAGCTTCGGTGTACGATCATTGGAATATGTTTTATTTTAGAAATCTGGGGCAGGCAAAAGGAACAGGTATCCCTTGTCTTTTTTTAATTTAAACACACTGCTATCGTTTTGAACGCACCTGAATCCCAATGCTAGCGTGCCATCTGGTGTCTCATGAGACTTTGGACGGTGTCATGAAAGCCCATCTCTGTTGAGCTGTGCATGATGTCAAGTCTTGGCAGTACAGGTACTTGGCAGTACTGAGGCAGTCTGTGTTGGCCAATCAGCCATCTCGTTAGGTAAAATTTCACAGCCTGACTGGGCATGATTGAGCATAGTGCTTCAAGTAAGTGCCACGGTTTGGTTTGGACACGGTTCAGAAATTTTTTGCCGAACTGTTGGTTCAGTTTGGGTTTAGACATGTACAGACTCGCAGTTAGGTATGTACACGTTTGTGTACAATGGTCAGTGCATATTTGCTATCAATGCAATGCCATAATAAAGGCCAATATCCGAACCAACCAGTTTAGTTCGGTTTGGTTCGAAAGTGCCATGTTCGATGATTTTTGGTTTGGTTCGGCGGTCCGGCTGCAGAACTAGTTGACCGCTTTGTCACAGAGCTACAATTCTTGTGGGGCACTACATGTTTTGTTGAGTGAAGTCAGTAACTTACACACAGAACAGGTTTCCACCTTTGTAAATGGATGATATTGTTCTTCCTAGCTTTTTTTTTTCCTTCGCTGCATTTGGTTTCCCACTTGCCTGTGTGATATGGACCGTCACTGTACATCACTTCTTTCATTCTGACTGGAAGAGCAGTCATTGAGTCATTTCAGTCTTTGAAGATAGATTCTTTTGTTGCATTTTGTGGGGTGGTTTTCTTGTTTCTCTCTTTTGTAAATGGTTCATGGTTCCTTTTAGAACATAAATTCTTCTTAGTGTTGTTGTCTTTCCTGTTCAGGACAATGAAAGCATTTGAGGTGTGGATCAAGAAAGGTCGAAGTAACTCTGATTATCGTGTGCCCTCTGAGCTGTGTGTCATGATGAATGTACTGACCGATGCCAAGGTCCAGTCGTCAAAGCTCTGCCCCGTCTCTAAGGACCAGGAGAATGTAAGCTTTCACTACAGCAACTAGGCCTGGCCGTACATGTTTCGCTGTACGATTTTTACAAATGCAAAAGGACCCCTGAGCATTAGTTGTGGTGTCAGTGACATATGTGACCCACTCTGTGAAAATGAGTCTTAAGTCACCAGAGCCACTTTTTGAGTTTTCATTTGTATTGGAAAGAGCAAATGGAGCTTTTTATGTTGATGTATCACTTAGTGTGGCATCCTGGTAAAAGTGGATACTCCATGGTGACAAATGCTGTGGGTTCCTATTGATTTACACTGTGCAAAATTATTCTAAAGGACTTTTTACTCCAAAGTGGCTCTGGCGACCTAAGACTCATTTTCACAGAGTGGGTCACAAATGTGTGCAAAAAATTAGTGGGAAAAGTAGTGTATTGAGTGACAGGTTCTCCCCTCTTCCAAGTCCAGGGCCCAATGTCACGGAGCTGCTTTAACAGTTAGCAGAAAAGTCATGCTTACTGTAGCAGAAAAATTGGCAAACCTTAAATTCTTTCATGGCAATGCTTGGTGTGGTTGTGGTAATGGTTAGACTCACATAGAGATTTCTATTTTTACATCACTAATTTATAAAGCATATTATTCCTCCGAGGTTAGCATGCCTTTTGCCGTGCTTACAGCTTGCAGTCTCCATGAAATACACGGAGCCTCTGTACTTGTAAAATCATGTGCTTAGCAGCACCATGAAATTGGGCCCAAGTCGTTCAGTGTTCAAACTCACTCTCACTGTAGCCCTGTTTTCCTGTGGTGTTGACAGCACCAGTATCACACCAAGATTGACGAAGTTGTGAGCCGAGCAAGCGCCAACCTGATACAGAGCCTAGTAAGCAAGCTACGGACTGTCCTGGAGAACATGCTGTCCAAGCTGGCTCGCTATGATGAGGGCACATTCATGGCCTCCATCCTGTCCTTCACGGTATGTACTAGGTTGACACCATCGTGGCAGATACATGGCGCAAAAAATCAGGCCAACTTTGCTCACTCTTACAGCCAACAAAAATCTTGAACTTAGTCAGAGGTAGGGGCTGCCTAGTTCAGTGTAAGCCATTTTCAAGTTTAACCACTTCCTTCCAGGGAGCCCAGTACCAGAGACCTTGGCCGTATACCCATGGCTGTATACCCATGGCCGTATACCCATGGCC